AGCCTATGTATGAACTCAAGTAAAACATGTCTATTTTTAAAATTAACCGCAAATCCCCAAAGTGGTATTTGAAGAAGCTGATATTATCCAAAACTCGGTCAGTCTAGCGCTTTTCAACAATTATAAACCCGTTTGTCGGCACCGCGTCGGGGCAAAGTTCTACTACTCGATTGATTATATTTGGTGGCTATTGAGTCAAGCGTCATTTAAATTCAGATCAACAAATGGCCGTCGGTTAGACGTGCACATGCTATGGCCCTGATGGGAGACAGTCAGATAGGCTCGAATAATTACTCGGTGATGCACAAATTTGGTTGTCTGTGGTCAAGGTGAAATACACTTCGATCTTGTGCTCCACTGACGAGTATGAAGCACAATCTCGTTAGTCACACAGACCCTCCGCTTAGGTACTTTCGCCGTCTCCCACTCGCCGTCTGCAAAATGGACTTCCAATTGCACATTTATAGTGGAGAGAAGCACACACACTCTCTTCTAAGCAATGAGCACTGATAAGATCAAATCGGGAGCACTGGTAGATACTCTCATGAAGATTTGGAACTATGATCAACTTTATCTTCATCAAGTATGCGTTCGTGTGCGTGGGTGCGTGCGGGTGTGTTTTGTGTTCCGTATTCAATGACCGCGTTAACAGTCAAATTTGACATCATATGATGTGGCTTTTAAAGAAGATAAGTTGGTTGATAAGTCCATTTTGACTGTTCGTAACCACGCGATTCCGCTCTTGATTGTGGAACTTTTCTCTCAGCTATCCGTTTTAGAGCCAACAGTATGAGAACGGCAAATGAAAACTCGAGAACATCACTATGTGATGAATGAAATACATACTTAAAATAATTCCGCGGCTTCACGAACCGCTTTCCTCCAACCCACCTTGCCCTCATGCACTGCCAAACGATCACAGTTTTTTCTATGTGAAATGCACGTTGTAGAACCTGATCTTGTATTATCCGGAAAAGCCGGCAAGCCAGAAACGCGGAGTCAGAGTTTGATAGATAAATCCTATTGTTTCTCACAACGAACTGTTGTTTACCGTAGATAATGTCTACTCAAACGCTTAGGCACCGCCGTATCCTGCATTGTGTCCTGGTTACGTAGTAACGTTTTACTTAAACTAGGAAGTCAAAAAATACTGACTTCAGTTTGTTGCGAAAAATTCATCTTTTCCGTAGCTGATACGATCTTAGGAATTCCGAAATTTATTGCTTTCAATTTCACGCACCAAATAGTTTTAGTGGAATAGCATCGGTGGAGGTCGGTCTCACCTATCTAGGTGAGCGCACCTCTGACTCTTTTTGGGTTTCATTCCGTTTTTCACGGAACAAGATTTTGAATGGCTTGCTCGTTTGAACAGTGAAGTGCTGAGTTTTTTTTAAGTGATTAATTGTAAGCCCATCTAATGCAAATATCATATTATATATATATATATATAACTCGTTTCGAAAAAGACCTGGGGTGAAAAATCAATCTAAACTACAATGCGATCACGTGCAATGTGCATATATACGTTAATCCTTTAGTGCTTCTTTATATTTTCACCCAGATATTCGGATCGAAACGAACTTTGCATTTTACTCTCCACTTGGTATCAGGACAGTTCGCTTGTCAGTTGCCCCACATTCGGCGTTATCTACTTCTCTCACTCTTTCCTCGCTTTCGTTCATATTTTGTCTGACTAAATTGCCAACAATCACACAGTTGTCCTAGTACCATTTAGTCTAGGAATTGATTGTGTCTGAACCACTATAAGAATAATAACGTTATTGGAATGAAAATGGATATTCTATTGCCTCCTTTCAACATTCAGTGCAATTCCACATTAGAAGCTGTCTGGAAAAACTTGGCATTGTTTGATTATCTGACAGCTATTACATTCATCGATGGTTCGGTAACAACGGATTTAGTTGTATTTATTTTTATTTAAGGGTTCCATAGTTCTATTGGGTGCATTGATGCCATCAGGAGTTCGCAGAAAACAGCTGATATAAAGACAAAATATCAGTCTGACCCTGAAATCAAACCACTATCATCATAAATTTGACCTATCTTTGCTATGAAGTCACTGATTATGCTTTTCGAAGCGTTAACGCATACAAATCATGTCACTGATCTTGAAAGTGGTTTGTGGTGAGTGATCAAATAAACACACCATTAATGGGAAACTGGAGAAGACCAATTTGCACACTGTTTCTAACCGAACCACCCGAATCTAGTGATTTATAGCTTGAGGTAAGTAACCAACCAAAATGGTAATAATAATAATAGTATCCTAGCCGACCCACTACTTGACGCTGTTTGATTCCTGTTCGTTCTTGTCGATGCGTTTTCCATATTTTTCTGATAATATTGATTCTCTGTGCTCGTCGTGTATCTACCAATACACGATGCTTTTCAATTGGTCAGTGGTTGGCAGCTGTCGATCGACTACAATTATAAATAAACTCGTGGTAATTTCATTGTACATCCACATTGTTGTATTGTAGTGTATCTATTGAGTGTGACTCACAGCTAATATGTAATTAATGGCCCCCTGGCCTCTGGGTATCTCTTTCGGGGCAGCACTGAATGAAGTAAAACATCAGTTTGCGCAAGAAACTAC